CTGGGCTTGCAGGCAGCCGCCTGCCCCGGGGGATGGCGAGGGGGGTTGCCCGTTGTGTTCTCCCAAGTGCTGACGCAGGTTTCCACATCGCAGGCTTCTCTGATCTGGCAGGAACTGGAGGCTGAAGAACAAGAGCTGCAGCTCGAGGTGCCCCAAAGGCCTGCAAGAAACTCCTGGAGGCCCCGTGGCCAGAAGCGGAGTCCAGGCACCCCCCAGCACCCAGATGAAGGCTGCGTCAGATACTTTGTCCTGGCCACCACGGCCGCAATTGTGGCTCTCTTCCTGAACGTCTTCTACCCGCTCATTTACCAGACCCGCTGGAGATAGGCACGGGCGCGCGGCCAGCTGCAGAAGCAGGGCTGCCGGGGCACGCGCCGTCCTAGGACGCTGCGTGATGAAGACGGGCGGCAGGACAGAAACGTCTGGGAAGGACTCGCCGAGGGGCTTGCGGGCCCCTGCCTGTCTGCTCTGGCATCCCCCATGCCAGCTGGCAGGGCTGCGTGGCCAGCCCGCTGCCTTGCCAAGGCGCAGCCCAGAACCAGGAGCCCCTCTGCCCTCCCTCACCCTTGCTGCCCTCTGGGAGCGGGGCAGACTTCCTGTCTACCTGCTGCTCAAGAAGGGACATTGCTGCTGCAGCATGGCTGGGGCCTGGGATCCCCCTGGAAACATCAACCACCTCTGCTCAGCTCCCAGGAAAGAAGCAGAGACCTGCCAGGAGGCTGCAGCAAGGGCAGGATGCCCTGACATGGGTCCTGGTCTGGCCGCCTCTCCTAGTTGTGCTGCTGTGGGAACCTTGTGCTCCCCGGGACCGGTGTGATCTGTGGCTCCTGTGCCAGCCCAGTCCCGCCAGCCATCCTCTTGCTGAGCCCCCCGGTGCCAGCTGCCTGTGCACCAGGAGTCATGTGCACCGCACCCCTGTGTGGGGGCTGAACGGATTTGTCAGCGAGGGCTTGTGTGCTTCCCTGCTCCCCTGGGCAGCTGCCGGGGAGCCTGGCAATCTGGGCTGGGGTGCCCATGGTGAGCACCCACCTACGTGGGCTGCTGGTTCTCACCAGTGTGGGGCATGTGGGCTGTCCCTCCTGGCTGTGGCTGGGGGGCTGGGTCTCTACTGGGGAGCACGGTGCAGCATGTAGTTTGTCGCTTGCAAGGGGACTGGCTTCCCCTGCTGCGGGAGAGGCATGGGGTCAGGGAGCGAGCACAGGTAGGACCTCGGTGTGTTAATAAAGCCAGGTTTTACAAAAAGATGCAGCATCCCTGTCCTGTGTGATGGGACCCCCCCACAGGGGCAGGGACTCTGCTGCGCTGGAGCTGGTGACCTTCCTGTGCCTGAGGCGACTATCTCCGGCCCATCTGGCATGGGGACCATGCCCTGGGCTCTGCTGTGGGGCAGCAGCCCTGGTGGGGTATGTGCAGGGTGTGGGGAGCCTGGCAGTGCCTGGGGAGTGCAGTGGGGCCAGCAGCACGTGGTCCCAGGGGGCTGGGGCACGGGCTGCAGCTCCAGCGGTGTCTGATATTGAGACGTGTTGCCCTTGGCTGAGCGTGGCTCAGACTGCTCTGGCGTGTTTGGGTGCGAGAGGTGACTTCAGAGCCCTGTGACTTCCTTTTCCATCTCTGCTGCTGTCCTGTCAGCAGTGCCCTTGGTTGGCTCAGGAAGGATGCTTGGCCGGGAAGGGGCTCGCCTGTGTTTCTGGTTGGGGCTTGAGCCCACCCGTGGGGAGCCCAGGGGGCTCCCCCCCACCTCGGTCCCACAGCCCTTTTGCTGCAGTGTCCTCCCTACCAAGTGGGTCCCAGCCGGGGAGTCCGGCGGGGCCGTGCTGCGGTCATGAGGTGCATTCCCTGGAACAGTTGCCTCATTGTCTGCAGCCCTGGGGCTCGGCCGCTTGCCCCGCTCGCCCACGGCGCTGGCCTCGTGGGGCTGAGTCAGTGCCCAGTGCCGGTGGGGTGACCTCTGCTCTGGCTGGCACCCTGGGTTGGGGCCCC